AAAGTCACATCACTATAGTACATGTGAACAACCTACGTGGACAATGAAGTGACATGAAAACCTAGTATAATGAGTAAATTTAAATCAAAAGATTACTCAATGCTATAATGAATAAATTTTTCAAAGTACAATGTTTAATAAAAAATAGTTTGAAAGTACATTGCTGTAATAAAAAAACCTGAAAGTACAATGCTATAATAAAGAAAGTTATAAAAGTAGATTGTTATTTTTTGCATTTTACCCTAAAACTAATAGAAAATAGTGTTACTAATAATTAATAATAAAATATTCAAGAAAATTAATAAATGATTAGTAATTATATATTAATCTATCAACAATAATAATTAATAAGATAAACTAATAATTAAAATATTTATTTAATTAATATTAAAAAGAGTACAATTATAAAAACGAAAAAAAACTTATTGAAACGCTACGCCAATAAACTAATTTATCAGTTAGTTTTGGCCATATGAACAAAACTTTTGCAATAAACAAAAAAAGAAAAGAAAAAACAAACTAACTTATGATTATCAAACATGATCCTCGTGTGAGAAATAAAGTTATCTTGAAAAACATAAGAAGAGATTTGAACCGTTGATCACTTTTAATCTTATGTCCACTCATTAATTGCGTTTTAGAAGGGAATTGACGCGGTGCATATCGATGCACCTTATTAGCGTTGACATTCAATTATGATTGATCCAAGAGTGAAAATCTATTTTTACGTTGTTACTGTAACTCCCCTTCTTACTGGAACTGGATCCTAGATTTATATTTTATGTATATAATGTAACTTGCCTTAGTAGAGATGTTGGTAGAGAGCCAATCAAGGCCTTCGTATAGTCCTTCGCCGGATGTTGCACATGTGCTCTGTATATACCTGTAATTAATCGTGTATTAATACTGTTTGTGTTTCAAAATAAATGTTCGTAACAAAAAATATACAGTAGCTATTTATTTTAAAAGTTAATACTTATTTTAGGACAAAATTTAGACATATTATGTATATGTCTAAAATGAAATTCAATCATTCACATGAAATTCAATGTAAAACGATCAATTTTAAGACCACCAAAATGATCCCGTTATCGACAGAATCTTGATTAGAAATGTTTGAAAGATGAGAAGATCGAGGGAGAAAATGATAAGTTACCAACGGCGATGGCGTAGGGAATGGAGTCCAAGTTTATCAGTTAGTTCAGAAACCTTCATAGCATTTGGAAGATCTTGTTTATTGGCAAACACGAGTATTGTGGCTTCACGAAGCGCATCCTGGTCCATGAAACAAAACAATGTTTAGTATTCGACGAAAAATGGTTAATCGACGGTAAAGAGAAAATACGCACCTCGTTGAGCATGCGGTGAAGCTCGTCTCTAGCTTCTGTAATTCTATCTCGATCGTTGCTGTCAACCACGAATATAAGCCCTTGTGTGTTTTGAAAGTAGTGCCTCCACAATGGTCGAATCTTCACAATCACAATCACTAATTAACTGATTTCACTCGTTATTGAGTTATAAGAAATGTGTAATCATTACACTTTTTAATTAACTACATGACAATTTTACCCTTAATATTAGATAGAGCGATGGATATATCCATTTCATAATTAATGGTATAATTGGAAAGTGAACACTTATTTTTAGACGAAACCAAAATAGAAAATCTGACTCTTATTTTAGGAAGAAAGGAGTACAACACACAAACCTTGTCTTGACCTCCGACATCCCAGACAGTAAAACTAACATCCTTGTACTCAACAGTCTCCACATTAAAACCTGGTGTCATTTTGCTAGATATTACGCAAACGTATTTTAACAAAGTAATACTTGAAACTAACGAAAGTGGGGGGGGATCAGAGGTACCAATTGTTGGAATGGTGGTAACAATCTCTCCGAGTTTAAGCTTGTATAGAATGGTGGTTTTGCCTGCGGCATCGAGTCCTACCATCAGAATTCTCATTTCCTTCTTTGCAAACAACATCTTGATCAACCGTGATATCGCCATGCCCATTTTGCTTCGTTACAATCAAGAAACGAAAAGAAGGAAAGAAAACACTGAAAAAACGAACACAACAGATACTGAAAGAAGATCACAATGAATTCGGGTTCTGTTATGATTTATTTTGACAGATATTTTCGTTCAAAATCCGAATAAAGTGTTTTAAAACATGTTTAGAGTGGTATATATATTTATGGATGGATGTGAGGTAAAGGGTAAAAGTAAGTTATCATGGAATAAAGGAGTAAGGAATGGGATTCCAATGGGAATTAGATGTGATGATGGAGTCACCAAAAGGGAATGGAATATAAAAAATAATCGTAGAGATTGAATTTAGATTTTTCAAAGGGAAAAAGTGATTCCAATTCCATGGTTTTATGAAAGTGATCCGATTTGGAATTAGACGGGTCGGATGATGAATTAAAATGGATTTGCATAAAAATATGTAAAATAAATTAGTACATTTGATTGACTCGTCAATACTTTTATCAGTATTGTGTTTGTTGTACTGAATTTTACAAATAATTAATGTATTAAATATTATAAATATTATATTTTTAGAAAATAATTAATTTTTTTAATTAAATGATTTAGAAAAAAATTAGAAGGATGGAGAGTGAGTGGAGAGAAGTGCGCCGGCGTAAAGCTTCCAATTCCGGTAGAGGAATTTTAAAAGACGAAGGTATTTTCATTAAAGGAAACAGAAAGGAAAGGAAAGGCGACCACCTTCTACTTCACCGGATTCCCTGCCCAAGCTTCTGAGGCAGATATTTGGAGGGTTTTCATCAAGATTGGAAAAGTGGTGGATGTTTATGTTGCTAGGAAGAAAAACAAGCAGGGGATTAGGTTCGGTTTCGCTCGCTTCCTTGGCATTTCTGATCCCTCGAGCTTTGAAGATAAGTTAAATAACACCTGGGTTGGAGGTCAGAGACTGAAGGCCAACATCGCGAGATTCGCTAGGGACCATCGAGGTAAGTTAGGGAGCAAGGAGACCATCTTTAATCCGACTAATCGGTCTCACGCTGCTATTAAAGGTAGATCTTTTGTCGAGGTGGTTGAAGGTAGTAAGAATTCTGGGGCAGAGACACTTCCCAAAATCTGCTTTAATCTGGCTGTTTCCTCCCTTTCTCGTAGTTGGTTGAAGGCATCCCTTATTGGGAGAGTGGCCTCATTAGAAAAGTTACGGAATGTTGTCTTCATCAAAGAGGCTGAAGGATTCCAGGATGTAATCATCAGGTACTTGGGGGGACTCTTTGTCCTGGTCGAATTTGAAAATCAATCCTTAGCGGACGCCTTTCTCTCTGGCGCGAAAGACACCTGGTCGTCATGGTTTGTCTCCCTGGACCCTTGGTCTCCGGATTTCAGGATTAGTGAGAGGCTGGCCACGATTGTCATTTCGGGTATGCCTCCTCAAGCGTGGTATTCTGACGCCTTCTCCGAAATTGCTAAGGCCTGGGGTTCTATCTTGGTTCCGGAAGTTTGCTCTAAGAATAGCTTTAACATGTCGTTCGGTAGAGTGGTGATTTTGACGTCTGCTAAAGGACCCATTAATTGCAGTTGTTCTGTCCTTTTAGATGGAATTGAACATTCGATCATTGTTACGGAGGATTTGCAGGAGGCATGGAGGGTTTTCCCTTTCCAGTCGGGGAGTTTTTTTGTTGGCGATGACCTTGAAGATAATCTGGAGAGTAGTGATGTCGTGAGCAGTGATTGGGACTCTGAGGATCGGGTCCAGGACCTCGGCTCGCCGGTGGCTTCTTCTTGTGTCGGTAACAAGCCGGTCTTTTCTCCTCCGGCGCCGGGTGAAGCTTCTGAAGAGGTATTCGAAACGTCTAAGGGCTCCTCGGTTGAAGTAAATCGAGATTCTCAAGTTCATGAGCATTCATGGCAGAGGGGCGCGGCTCCCGAAAATTGTCCGTCCTCCCCTTCTCTTGGGGTAGTTCAGGGATCCTTCAGTGGGCTTGGCAAAGGAATAGCGGAGTTGGGCTGTTTCTCTCAGCCCATTGATGTTATGGGCTTCATTAAATCCAATCCGTGTGAACCTTCTGGAGGAGATGCTAACTCCAGGTCCAACGTTTCTTGTCCAGGCTTTTCCTTTTCTCCGGCTCTTCCTTCGAATTATATACATGCGGCGTCTTCTTCTCGTTACCCGAAACCCCCAAATCGCTCTAGACTTCATGGTACGTTCCCTCAATTTAAAACTCCTTTCCCTTTAAAATCCATCTCTATTCTCAGTAAGCCCAGGAGAAGAAAGACCAACGGCAATTCTTCTCGGTGTTCACCCCTTTCCACGGATGTCGTGAGACCTTCTGAGGAWTCCTCTTCCCAGTCGATTGAYCTTAAYCGACCGGTTCAAGGGACTGCGTCTGGTTCCTCTAGCTYGGGGACTTCTCTCCCTTCTAATGRAGACGGTATTTCTGAWTCTCTTGACGTCCCTTCCGAATTGAGAAACACCWTGGAAGTWGGCGAGATGGTGGGATTCCAGTTGGGCGGTTGTGTAGATGAGCTTCGTAAAATCATCTCAAWTTCAGGTGACGAWGWAGTTGGTCAATGAGGATCCTTTCTCTTAATTCTAGAGGGGTGGCTTCGGCAGTGAAGCAAGACTGGATCAGAAATATTTGTGTTAATAATAAGGTGCTGGTCTTGGGGATTCAAGAATCCTTAGTCTCGTCTCCTAGTCACTCTCTTATTAAATCCGTATGGGGAAGCAGAAATTTTGATTTTGAGTTTGTTGAYGCTAGAGGACGTTCAGGGGGYATTCTTWCYATCTGGGACTCTTCTTGCTTCGTTAAATCTGACGTTGCCCGTGGTGACGGATACCTGGCAGTTTGGGGAAAATGGATCGGGCTCTCTAGTATCTGCGGTTTTATAAACATCTATGCCCCTCAGAGCATCAGTAGCAAGAAAAGACTCTGGGCTTCCATTGTAGACCTCCTTTTGGCCAATCCTAATGTAATTTGGCTAGTTTTTGGCGACTTCAACGAGGTCCGGTCCAATAATGAGCGTAGAGGGACTTCTTTCTCGTTCACCGGGGCTGCTGCTTTCAACGAGTTTATTCACGAAGCAGGTCTCTTGGAGATCAGGAGTGGAGGCAGGAAATTCACTAGGATGAGCTCTGATTGTCAGAAATTAAGTAAACTTGACAGGTTTTTTGCTTCTCATAATTTTTTCTCGCAATGGTCTAACCCTTTTGTCGAGATCTTGCCCAGGCTTCATTCAGACCACTGCCCTCTTCTTCTTCTCGGTCAAGCTGTGGATTTCGGCCCWCCATATTTCAAATTTTTTAATTCCTGGCTTAGGGAGGMTAAGCTTTCGGAAATCGTTAATCGCTCGTGGATGGCCCCTYYTTTGAATTCCAGGYTTTCTCCTATTAGTTTGTTTATGTCTAAGCTCAGACGGGTAAAATGGAATATTAAAAAGTGGAGGGCAGAATTATCTTCTGCAAGGAATAAGGAGTTGGATGTTCTAAAAAACAAGTTAGGCGATCTAGATCTTAAGGCGGATTCAATTGGTATTTCCTCTTCGGAAAGTTTGCAATGGCAGGAGACCCTTATCAAAATTAAAGATCTGGAGAAGGCCGACAAACTTGATCTCAAACAAAGGGCGCGAGTGAAGTGGATCATTGATGGGGATGAAAATTCGTGTTTCTTTCATGGCATTCTTAACAGGAACAGACGAAGCAACTTCATTCACGGGCTGTCCATCAACGGTCAATGGAGGTCGGACCCCCCTTCCATTAAGCAGGCAGTTTTCAATTTTTTTGCCAAAAAATTCTCTATCAGCTCTGTTGTCCGTGCCTCTTTTCGTAATCATCATTTCAAGAAGCTTTCTGCTGATCAGAGTGCCTTCCTTGAAGGGACCATATCTGAAGAGGAAATAAAGCTTGCCGTCTGGGACTGTGGTTCGGAGAAGGCTCCTGGGCCAGATGGGTTTACATTTGCTTTCCTTAAGCATTTCTGGTCCATAATTAAACTTGATCTAATTGCTGCGGTTAAGTTCTTTGAAGTTTCGGGCTCTTTCGATAAAGGGTGCAACCCTTCCTTCCTTGCTCTCATCCCGAAAAACAACTCCCCTTTATCTTTGCAAGAGTTCAGACCCATTAGCTTGCTTAGTTGTTTCTACAAAATTGTCGCCAAGGTTCTTGCTAATCGGTTAAAGACGGTTATTAGCAATGTAATTGGCCAGGAACAAACAGCGTTTGTTAAGGACAGATGTATCCTCGATGGCCCTCTCATCATTAGTGAACTGATCTCTTGGGCGAAAAAATCTAAGAGACAAYTTCTCYTGTTTAAGATTGATTTCGATAAGGCTTTTGACTCGTTAAGTTGGGGTTTTCTTGACGATATCCTATCGCAAATGAATTTTGGATCAAAATGGAGGCWGTGGATTCASGGGTGCCTTAAGTCGGCTACGGTTTCTGTCTTAGTTAATGGGTCCCCGACGGCTGAATTCCCTACGGGCAGAGGAGTCCGTCAGGGTGACCCGCTCGCCCCATTTCTGTTCATCATTGCGGTTGAGGCTCTCAACATTGCTATGAAAGAATCATGTRAGAARGGTGTTTTTARAGGAATCAAGCTTCCGAATTCTGGMCCGACAATATCTCACTTGCAATTTGCAGATGACACAGTGTTCTTAGGAGATTGGTCTTGCTCTAATTTGGCAAATTTAATCAGGATCCTTCGGTGTTTTTATTTGGCTTCCGGGCTGAAAATTAATCTCAACAAAAGTAACCTGATGGGGATTGGGGTCGAGGATGAAGAGGTGGTCTCCCTAGCTAACCGCTTTCATTGCAATTTAGGTAAATTCCCTATTAGCTATTTGGGTTTGCCGTTGGGGTGTTCGATGAACAAAGCTGAATCGTGGGAGCCGATAATCTCCAAATTCCTCGGTACTCTTTCCAATTGGAAATCCCACTCGCTCTCTCTCGGCGGTCGGACAGTGCTTCTCAAATCKGTTSTAGGAAGTCTTGGGATCTACTTCTTCTCATTGTACAAAGCTCCGCAAAAAGTTATTAACAAACTCGAGAGCATCAGATTGAACTTCTTCTGGGGTTCAAGGGATGGTGGAAAGAAAATATCTTGGATTCCGTGGAACAAGGTCCTCACTAGCAAAGAAAATGGGGGTTTGGGTATTGGCAGTCTAAAGGCGCTCAACCTAGCCCTTGTTGCCAAGTGGTGGTGGCGGTTYAAGRYGGAATCCGACTCTCTTTGGAAGAGGGTGATTCAATCTATTCATGGCAACGAGGGGGGTTTAGGGGTCGCCAATCCAGTTGGGAAAACTACGGGAGTTTGGAGGAACATTMTGAAAAYTCRTAAGGAMTTCCATAAAGTAAAYATCCCCATTCATAGCTGGTTCCAACCTCGTGCCGACTCCTCTAACCAYTCGACTGTCTGGAATTGGGTGYTGGAGCCATCAGGCRTCTTTACRGTTTCTTCCCTTAGAAAGGCCTTTGATGATTTTCACCTTCAGGYAAGGAATAATAGCTCTTTTCGGTTGTGCAATTTGATTCCCTCCAAAGTCAACCTTCTCGCTTGGAGATTATCCCACTGTAGGTTGCCTACAAAACTCAACCTGGTGAAACGTGGAGTGTTGCTCGCGTCTCTTTTCTGCCCCTTTTGCAACATCGTAGAAGAGAACGAAGAGCACATCTTTCGGGACTGCCGGGTTTCGAACCAGATCCTGAAGAAGGTATGCCAATGGTGGAATATTGATAATAATTTCATTAATGATCGCCCTCGGTTATTCGATTGGGTTGATACTCTCAATTTTAAAGGGGATACTAAAAAGGTCTTCACCGGGGTTCTTTACACTTACTTCTGGGTAATCTGGAAGGCTCGAAATAGCTTGATTTTTGCGGATTCGTCTCATCAAAGTGGAGCTTGTTTGTTTGCTGAAATTCAGGCTCTCTCGTTTTTTTGGATGAAGCACAGGGGAAAAGTCTGGAACGTGGTGCAGTGGAGTTCTTGGTGTGATAATCCGTATAGTTTGGTTTAGTTTCCTTTCCGTGGTTGGTGCTTTGTTAGGTTTTGGTTTGGTTGGGTGCGGTGTTTTGGTCCCCTCTGGGTTTTGTTTCTTGTCGGTTCTTTTGTTTTCTTGTTCTCCTTCTAGCTTCTCGCTAGTTTTGTTTCTCTCTCGGGTTCGTTTGGCTGGGGTGATGGCTTTGCCGTAGCTCCTTGCCTTGGGACCTCGCTTTTCCTTTTAATAAATTTTCGCCGTTCAAAAAAAAATAAAAATAAAATTAGAAGGACACTTGCACAATGCAGCGAGATAAATCTCGATTTTAATGTTTTGTTTTTTTTTTTGTCTCAATCGATGTTATAATACAGTTTTCTGTGTTTTTAAGAAAACGATAATGTTTTTATTTTTGAATGAAATATAAATTTGAAATTAAAAAAAAATATTGATATCAGTATCAGACTAACTATTTAAAATTTCTCGTTTTTTTATGTATTTCTTAACTTTATTTTTAAATTTTTTGGTTTAATAATATAAATTTGTATAAAGATAATAATAAGTATTTTGTTAGAACTCAATGATTATTCTAATTATATTTTAGATTTTTTATATTTAAAATAAGATGTTTATCTATAGTTAGTTACACGAATTCAAACATGAAGCTTTAATAAGTTGTATTTATGCACAATTAACTTGTAATCCTAAATTTTAAGTAATATGCATCAATAAACAATATTTCATGCATAAAAAATGGTTTTTAAGAGTTTTTGTCAAATA